TTGTTCAGATCTTTAGCCATCTTCAGCGCTGTCACCATAGGTCTCCATCTGGTGGGTAAACTTCTGATGATCTTTTTCACATGATCAGCAGTAGAGTATCCTTTGTCCAGAACCTTTAGTCCAGCTGTAAGTATTTGAAATCTGGAGAACATAGCTTCAACAGATTCAGAGTCTTCCATCTTGAAGGCTTCATACTTCTGGATCAGAGCCAGAGCCTTTGTTTCCTTGACTTGAGAGTTTCCCTCATGAGTCATCTTTAAGGATTCAAACATGTCAAATGCAGTTTCCCTGTTTGTAATTTTTTCATACTCAGTATGAGATATTGCATTCAACAATATTGTTCTGGCCTTGTGATGATTTCTAAAATCTTTCTTCTGAGCATCTGTCATAGATTTTCTGTCTATCTTCTTGCCATTCCCATCTGTGGGATGAACATATCCATCTATGACCAGATCCCATAAATCAGCATCATATCCAAGGAAAAAACTTTCAATTCTGTCTTTCCAATAATCAAATTTCTCCCCATCAAACATAGGGGGTTTGGTGTTGATTCTGTCCCTTTCTTCATATTTATTGTTAATGTTAGATATTGTATTATCAGCCATAGTAACAACTAAATATATATCAAAGTATTTCTCTCTGGATCTTTACTGTCACTGTTAAGTGGTAGCACACACAGAATCGGAGCTCTGATGCCAACTGAAGGTGAGATAATACTTAGAAGGGGGGGTTGAATAAGTATGAAAGATTAAAACTTAGAATTAAAATACAAGTATTTTTATCCTGGTTCGTTGAACTCAACTACTCCAGTCCACCCTTCCTAGAGTGATTTGCCTTTCTCAATCAAGGACTTAATCCACTATTTAATCAAACAGATTACAATAGTAACACCTAAGAACAACTGTTCTGAGTCTTCTCAAGAGTTACTGATCCCAATTGGATCCTCTTAAGGAAATCTTTTACAATCAATGTAAAGTTATTACAAGAGTAAGAATGCTTCTAAAAATCTATTATCACAACTGTGATATTTCTCTTAAGTTTAAGAACAATGAATTAAATTCTTAGAATGAATATGAAAGTATGAGAGCTTGAATATTTGATTTCTTTTCAATGCCAACGTCAACTAAAGAATTTGGTGGAGTCTTGCTTTTATAGGCAGCTGATCCAAGGTGAGCTTCACGTTGAGAAGAGTGTCCAAAAAGGTCTGCCTTTTTGTCTTCACATCAAGTGACCTTTCCTAGAAGAAGAAAGCACAAAAAAATCTTTTTTGTCTGTGTTCTTGTGTCTAGCATAAATAAGGAAAGAGACGTTTGATTTACTCCAACGGATATAATCTTTGAATATTTCTTCTTCAGTTTTCAGCAAATTCATCAGAGTCTAATTGGGTCAGAGTCTTCTAATGATGATCAGAGTCTTGCTGAAACAGAGTCTTCCGCAGCAGGTGTGCTTTCAGCGTGTTTAATATCAGAGCATATTTGATACAGAACTTCAATACTGGCAGCTTTAGTACTTTCAAAATCTTCTGTAGAAACTATGCTTTGGAAAGCTCTTCATACAAAATTCTTCTTTGCTTCAGATGCTTCTGACTTGCTTCAGATTCTTCTGGAGCTTCTGCTTCAGATCCTTCTGGAGCTTCTGCTTCAGATCCTTCTGGAGCTTCTGCTTCAGAATCTTTTGGAGGCTACGCTCAGAATCTTCTGTTGGCAACAATCAGATTCTTCTAATGTATGCATCTAGCGCTATAGAGTCTAGCTAATTTCTTGTGTTCAATTCTGATTTGCTTCTGAAGTGTTAATTCCTTTACTATCTGCAGTAAAAACTCTCAAGCAAATTTTAGAGTATATAATTCTTAAATACAAAATTTCATATTAGTTATCATCAAAACATAGAGATATTATTAAGAACCAATCTGTGTTCTAACAAAATTTTGGCTAAAACAACTACAATATGTGTTCTTCTTGAAGTAGCACAAGTAACACATCATATCACCTAATAGAATTAACAAAGCAAACAACGGCAGCAAAAGTATCACATAAGTTAGGTGATTGCTACACATCAAGAGATAAACTCCATATTATTACTCCCTCTTTTTTCCACAATTTGGCAAAGACATGTAAAGAAGATCTATCTTTAGAGTTCAGAACAACATCCAACCCAGATCAGCATTCATAGTAGTAATAACATAAATCAATAGTATAAAGTCAAAAGGCATAGGTTTCTACACACAATAATCAATGCTCTAAAGTAGTCAGTCATGCACTCACAATTCCAGTCATGCATGGATACACAATTAGTAGTTGAGTCAGAACTAGCAGTAGAAACTACTAACACAAAGATCATCATACACAGTTGAGGTCCAGATGTCTGGCCCGATGCTTCAACATGTATGCACACAAAAAATCATAATAATTAGTACCTAAAACATTGGGTAAAACCATTCACGCCAGAGTTAGTAGCAAAAATTAGCTTCACACCTCAGTTAGTACCAATCATACTAGTTGATACTAAGCACAATAGGATGTATCAGGTGAGTAGAAAATTATCATGCATCTCAATGTCAGTAGTTACACCACTCCACTACATAATCAGTATTTTCCTATACACCGAGGAAGTAGTATCAGCTATGAAAAATTTCCAACACATGTCCATAACCACCAGATCAGATATCAACTGGTATACAGATGTTGGATGCAATGCCTAAGACATTTTCCCCAACTTGTAACAGATCTCAACAACTCATGAGGAATACCATGCTCCTCATTCTCCTTCAATAACCTAGGATAACTAGCTTCAATATTAACTATTGTCTTTAATAATTGATCATCATTACGAAGCTCCATAAATCCATTATACACGAGTGCTTTAACAAAAGTTATTTTGCATCCTTATTTGCAGTTTCTTCTTCTTCTTCCTCTGTTCCTTTTTCCTAGGTCGTAATTTTATCAATAGAGGGAACCTTGATTCTGCCCAATCAATTGAAAGTGGAAGGTGAAAGTTTCACACATTTTCCTTTATCATACACTTTTCTAAGCTAATTTACTAACTTTTCATAGCTAGGACTATCATCAGTAGCAATCTTCATTTGCCCAACAACTTTATAATCAAGAGCTTCTTCATCTAGTTGTCTCTCAACTGTAATCATTCTTTGAAGAACATACTTCCACTTCTGAATACTTGTTTCATAATGAAATGATACATTATCTAGTGAGAAGAGGTTACATACACATGAATTATCTTCTCTCAAACCTTTCTTCTTAAGGTGGACACAATATTCTGGACAGTTTCTTCAGCACCTGTCTCAGATTCAAAATTTTATGTGAAACCGGCATTGCCCTATATCACTGACATCATCAAAGTGGAAAACTCATTCAACAAGAGAAGCTGAAACTTGGTAAGATCATTTTTTTGATAGGATGCAAGAATTCACCAAGTTAAAAAAAATTAAAAGAGAAACAAATAAACAAAATCAAAGGCACACCCACCAATACATATATATTTAGACAATTATCCATGTTTTGGTTCATAGTTTTTATTCAACAATATATTATATGGCTAGCCATGTTTTGTATGTAATATTGTACTAATATTAATAATGTGAAATGTATATAATTTCATATATTTCAGTGTCTTTTTTCCATTTTTCTATTCTGAAATCGGTATTGTGTGAACAATGTCGGGTGAATCCGGAAATGCACATTCGGATTCACCCGAAATATTTTAAAAAATATGAATGAGGATTTATTCGAAAGTGCATCTTTGAAATATATCCTGATACAAAATCAGGTTTCTAAAGTCCATATTGGCTTAAAATTTGTATAAATATGAGTCTCTCATCTTATTTTTTTCAAAAAATTCACATCGCACCAGAACGAGTAAATATTGGCATGTCACATTTGTCTATTTCATCGACGCGAATGTCTAACTTGAATTTAGGGTCACTGAGTGCAACTCTCTTGTAGATCTGAAATCTATACTAGAGAATTTCCAAGAATACTAAGACAATCGAAAAGTTGTGAAACTCGAGTACGTTCACCCTTGATTGACAACGAATAAAAGATTCAGTCCAACAAGTTTGAGCTTAAGATGGATGAAGATGTAAGGGTTACGTGAAATACATTTCACCGCTATGAAACAAAAGGATTGATTGAGTTGGATAAAAAGATTGCGAGATCGACCGAAGATAATGTAAAGATGTTGAAATGCCCTACTTGATGATGAAATGCATTGTTCGAATTATGTTAACGATTATCTATATAACATTTCGTTTTTTATGTATATCAAAACAATTATCGATGTTAATTTATCTCCGTTTTTGTATCTGTTTCGTTTCTGCATTAGTTCCTAGTTCATTAGAATCCAAAAATACATTTCGAGTTCAATTTAGTCATAAAATTAGAATATGACTCAATAACTAAACAATTGTGTGTAAATAGAGTGCGCTCGAAAATACATTTTAGATTTTATGAAGAGTTTTGAATTTTCACTAAAGTGGAGAACTAATTCTTAGGGTTGAAAAAACAAAACCGATAACCGCATACCCACATGTACTGTGGTTTTTGATGTGCGTGTCTACCAACAACATTCACGTCAGTTTGAAGGGGAATGTGAATTAAGAATTAATCTATCTTTCTAGTTATAGATTTTAGCTTTTCTAAAATAATCTAATACAATAAAAATTGATTGTGTTCATTAATAGTAATGATTAACTATAGTTACATATAACAAGTTGTGCTGAATACCTTGTTCACTGCATCAGTAAATATAAATTGATCATTCTAATGATTACAACCATATCTCAACAGCTACATATTAATCATTCTACTTTTCTCGTATGAAACATTTTTTTGAATTACTTTCTTAGATACAGAATCAAAGAAACTTTAGATCAATGATGAAAAATCTACATCCTAATAATCTTGATCATTGGTTAATGTTTATGACCATCATTTACAAACTATATCTACTCTTTTCTATGCAAATATTTCACTATAAGGTTAGAATCAAACATGGTAAGCCATACCAACTTCAAGCAAAGAAGTATGAGCTACATCCAACATAATATCATGATCTCTGCAGTTTTTGCTTAGAAAAGCATAAACAATGTCTATTCCGAATTTCTTTAAAAGAGAAGATGATTTTTTAGCTTCTGCATAAGAATGTCCAATTATATAAGTAACACCTGATTCCTTGGCTTTTAAAATCTGTATCGACTCGGCTTTATACGACTCTTCCGTGTTTATGTTTATGTTTATGTTTCCATCATCTATAGTCAGTTGATTCGTTTGTTCTTCAGCATTGTCTTCTGTTTCGACAAACTGTATTATTGCAGATACTAGTTTGTTCTCAAAATTGTAATTCTCTTGTTGCATATCTTTGTAACCGTATCGGACGATGCAACGGAACATGTGGAACTCCTTCGGGCCGATTCTGCTGATGACTAGTCTTTCGTTTTCGCTAACGTAAGGGACTTGAACTGATTTAGCACATATAAAAACTAACACCTGATGGAATGCAGGTAAGTTTGTAACGAAATGGCCGAAAATAGCAGGGATACCGGAAGCGAGATTGCTGAAAATGAATCCGATTCCGGGGACACGGACCATGCCTAAGCAAGGTCCTAAGGATAGCATCTTGCTCATTGAGACCTTGTTTTCCACATCAAATTGGTGTTTCTTCCTTGTTCCGTAGTTCCATGTGAACATTATGCCCATGAAAATGATCGATAGTAAAATCGGTATCCATCCTCCTTCGGGGATTTTGCAGGCAGAAGCTGAGATGTAGAGAAGTTCAATGGATCCAAACAAAAACAAACATGAAAGTGCTTTTATTATCCCTTTTTTCCAAACAATTATGATTACTAGTGTCATCAAACATGTTGTCACAAACATAACTGTCATGATAGCCAATCCTACAAAACAAGCAAAACGTGAGGCACAAGTAAACACACGAGTACACCATCGTTTTGACCCTAAACATGCGAGGCACGGTCACTATAGTAACTGAATGAATCAACATTTCAAAAACATCGTTAAGTTCCTCTTTTGTTAGTAATTTTATGGGCGAAACTAATTAACTAACTAACGAAAGACGCATTAATGCATGTTTTTGTAATTTTGATACATTCATAAACTATCGTGACAACACCTCACACGTTTAAGGACTAGAACGATTGTGTAATTTAAACGCAACCGAAAAGAATATTGTACCATATGCATGACCCATCATGTTTGTATCCCTTAGGCCGATTGTGACAGCTAAACAAAGGCACATTAATATCCAATTGATTTCCGGAACATAAATCTGTCCATAAATTTTGCTAGAAGTATGAACAATCTTGACTCGAGGAAAACAATTCAACGCGCAGCATTGGCTTATGATAGAAAAAGTTGCGGAAATCACTGCTTGACTTCCTACAACAGCAGCTAATGTGGCAACTATAAAAACAGGCCAAAACACAGCTTCTGCATAAAAAGAGTGGCACGGTTAAACACTAATATCGGCATTTTATTTGGATTCTTAAAGTAAGTTCTTGCCTGGTATGGCTTTGTAGAAACTTCTCTTAATGTCATAATGGTGCTTAGAGAGAAATGCAGCCTCTCCCATGTATGCCAAAATCAGGCATGGATATACTAAACATGTGAAAGCTATCTGTGATTTAAGTTCAACTGTTAAAACCGATTTTGTTTTTGTATGATAGACTAATATGATTGGATCAAAATTGTTAATTTTTGTAAGTTCTCAATTTACCTTGATTGAGAGTGCGGAAAAATGACCCATATCAGCATACATTGTTTCCACCCCTAAGACAGTATCACATAGGAAAGTTAATCCCATGGTTCAACTGGCAGAAGCCGATATTGTTAGGATGGACGCCATCACCAGGGTTTGAACCCTGGTAATCACGATTGTGTGTGTGAGTTTCTAGTGGTTATTACCTGTTATTGAAAGCACGACTCCACTTAATGACAACCATCCTTCCATGCCATTGGTTTTGAGAAACCTATACATATAGACTGGAGAAAGTGCGCGATATACCTGTCGGTTCCAGCGGAAAATGTTGTATATACCAACACCACTGATGCACAAAAGCCATGCTGCAACAACTGGGGCAAACAAGAAGGCAACTCTATGTGTTCCATGATGCTGAATGGAGAAAAGACCAACTAAAATGATACATGAGACGATAGCAACATAATCTGCGCGCAAATCATCGTGTAGAGTTTTAAAGTTGTGCATTGATTAGACGTAATCGTAATGACATAGAACTTTTCGGTTAACTTACTGTCATGGAGTTGATTGATCTTAACTTGAACTCCTGAAACTGCTGAAAATACTGAAATGATAGAAATAGCTTATACATCAGCATTGTGCTATAAGCGCTTAATTAAACTGTTTATACAAACACGTCCTAAGGCTTACAAGAATCATGAAGTAAACATCAAAATAGAATCTGAAAGAGGCTGCACCTGATCAACTACCTGATATAGCAGGAGTAATCACGCCATCGCCAATCGTCATACACGTCCCCAACAGAACAAAAATCAGAAGTCCTTTCTGAAATCTCGGGTGCTTTCCGAAGAACAGCTTCAAACGAGAAGACTGCCATGTATCTGCAGAATCTTTCGTCGAATAAGCAGATAAATCTTCGTCCGCAGGTTGCTGATTCGGCAACATGCTTAGTTTCGCATGTCTGCAGAGAAGCGAGTATAATGCAAAAGTCCCTCCTGCATAATCAGTATACAGCATTTGATTCTAGCAAAAATTTAACCGATTATCCTAATTCGTCGCATAAGAATTCTCCAACTATATTGATTAACATTGTACCTTCGCCATTGTCATCCGCAGACATGACAATGAAAACATATTTGAAGAGCGCGATAACGGTAAATGTCCAGAAGATAAACGAAAGCACGCCGAAAATCTCTTCATCATCTTCTTTGAGACTCAATTTCCCTGAGAATGAGGTTTTGTATACATAAAGAGGAGAAGTGCTAAGGTCACCATAGACTACTCCAAGACTTTGGTATGCTAGAGTGAGCACATTTGCACAAGATGTTCTCTTTAGATTCTGAAACATGAAACCAAACATATATAAGGAATTAATAATATATACTATATAGTGAGAAATGGAAGAGAAAAAAATGAGTACTTGGTGAGAAATTCCATGTTCTAGAAATTGGTGAGAAGGATTCATTGTTGAAACATGTATAAGAAGAAGTGAAAGATGAAGTGGAGTTTGAAAGAGAATGATGATGAGATAGAGAAAATATATAGAAGAAAATGAGGAGTGGAAGAAGTGAAGTAGTAAGAAAGCAAGTGGTGTGTGTGTCCAAAGAAGTTGCAAAATGCATTCAATGCTCTTTAAACTTCTTTTCTTAGACTTCATTAACCAACCTAACACCTTACCCTCACTCCCTTACCTTTCTTTCTTTTTATACCGATATATGCGTGCAGATGCAGAGACTAATTTTTCTTAGTAAAAAAAATTAATATTACCGTCGAATCAAAGTTAAATTCAAATTCAGAATTTTTGATTATACTGTAAAAAAAAATCTCTTATCACCTTATTTAAGTGCATCGGTCTCTTATCCTTTTAAATCAATGATAAATAGTTTTTTTTTTAGAATAATATTTTTCAAAAAATAATTTTACTTGAGAACTACTAAAATATCAAAATTCATTATTCAAGTTTAACAGCTTTCAAATGTAGAATTAAATATAGATTAAACATTATTAATTAGTTATGCCAAAAAGTACTTAGTTACAAAATTTCTCCACTTTAAACAATGGACTAAAAGTCAATTATAGGCCATGTTGTTTGGTATTCATTTATATACTGTAATTTGGTACATGTCTCTTTCTTTATTCATGTGTCATTAAGATAGGTTTGAAAAAAAATAAAATTCTCATTAAAATGGAAAAAGAAAAAGAAAACCATACTATTTAATGGATCATAAGGTCAAGGAATGTAATTAATAGCATGGTTTAGTAGGACTTCTCTCAAAAATATATATTGTCACCCCTCTTAAATATATCTATAAAATAGTTACTAATATCACTTTAATTAATAAAAAATTATTTCAAAATTTTAAAATTGAAATATTCTATTAAAAATTTAGATAAAATTAATTAATGTTTGATTAGTGACTTATATTGAAAAGATGGTACATCTAACTAAAAAAACATTACACTTTATGAATGTTTGATTGATTTTCATTGACCTTTTAATATACATCAAATTGAGGAAAAAACCAAATTTCACACCAAACTAAAGTATGGAGTTAAAACATTTTCTTCCATTTTTAATTTCATTTTTCTATGCAAAGTTCCACAATTGAAATCTAGTAATAGCACCATGTGTTATTTAAAGAACAAAGTATGGTAAACCTGAATTAGGCACCCACAGTATGATGTAAATAACCTACCAAACTATAAAGATACAAATATACTAAAAGACTTCAAAGTTTAACTTTTTCTTGCATTTTTATACTTCTTTTTTTTAGGTAGTTAATGATGGTATCATCTTTGTATGAGTTGATTATATATTGACACTTCAACAATAAAAAAATAATTCCTAAAAATATATTAGTTAATAATGTGATCCACTATACAGCTACACTGCACAAGTGCACTAAATAGATAAAATAAAATAAATTGTGGGGTATATATGATTTGTAGAATTATAAAATTCACCACTTGTGTTAATCTTTCACCCACTTCACGTGCAATGCATATGCTAGATACACCAAAACTACATCGTATCTTGACATGTTATAAAATAAAATCCAAAGATGTGTTGACCTTGAAACTAAGAAGAAAAAATAGACATTATTGTAGTTTCATTCACTATAATATGTGTTGGTGAAGTTTGTCATCCATGGCATTCTATCTACTTGTTTATTCTTAACATTTTTCTCTTATCAAGGACATTGAAATTTTATTTGAGTGAAGGCATTAGTGATTGGTTCTTACACAAATAGTGTCAACTTAAAGTAGATGGGAGCTTAAATAATGTTGGGACCTATTCAATGCTATGGACCATTGGGATAGGCTTCTCATAAGTAGAGTTCTTAGAAAGTGTTGTCTCATTGCTCATCACATTTACTCTTGTGATTTAAGGACATATATAGTGAATTATAATAGAAGACAGTTTGGTGTGGCCAGCCTCTTGTGGAGATCATGCAAATTCAAATTAGGGTGTGTTGTTATTACATATGAATTGATTTTTTTAATTGAGAAAATGTTAAGCATATGTCACATAAGTTGTTGCCTCCTTTATCCATTGATGTTTTATTTTTAGAAAAATTTATTTTGTTACAGAATATGAAGGATTTATTTTGGAAAAATTCTTTTGGAAATTTTTATCTTATTCGAGACCTTATATGATTTATTCTAAAAAGTTATATTTTTGTTGAAGATTGGATATGTAATGAATTTGTTTGAAAAAATCTAATAGATCTGTTAGTCGAATTGACTCTATTCGCTTATCATATTGACATGTTGATGATTTGTTGATTAAGAAACAAAGTATGTATTGGTTCACTACTATAAAAACACATATAATCTCGGACGTAAAATTGATTTAATCTCGGTTAGAGAGACAAGCACGTGAAATTAATAAAATAAAAAATAAAAATAAAATAAATATTCAGTTATATGATTATTTAAGAACGCAAACCTTGAATCCAAATGATTTTCTACTCTTACAATCCATTTTTAAGAACTTTTCCCAACAAAATAATGAGAACTCATCCTTTCCTTTTTAAGTTTCAAAGTTTTCATGTCAAATATTTTATTATCAATTTTTAATATTCAAATGTTTTTATAATGAGGGTTTTAAGTTTCACAAGGATCACTAATGACAGTGTCTTGAGCGTTGATACTCATTAAATGGAGGATAAATATTTGTTTAAGGACGGTTAAGAAATTTGTTGTAAATGTGTCTCAAAATCTTTTTTGATTAAGAGAAAGAAAATATATTTTGGAGATTGCATTTACTGCAAAAATCGGAAGTTTTAGAAAGTCGGGAAAAAAATCAGTCGGTGAATAGTGCTATCCGTATGGATGAATAGTGACGTCTGTTCGGATGAATAGTGTGTTCGTACAATGAATAGTGTTTTTTAATTTTCGGGCTTTTTCGATTCGGTTCATGGATCCATGTGATTTTGGCCTTTGTTTGTTGGGTATTTGCTATTATAAATATATATATCTCTATTATATGTTTGGTGTGTGACAATCTTAGAGTTTACACCAACAAGGGAGAGCAAAGGTTTAAAGGTATAACATATGGTTTCCGCTATGCACAAAGAAAATCTTGGATTACACCTTGGGTTTAAGTGATTCATATATTGAGAGTTGGAGAGGTAGGGAAACACTTTGGTAGAAAATAGAGTTGTTCTTAGGCGCCTTCAGGGTTGTTCTTGGAAACCTAAAGGCGAAGGCTATTTTCTTGTAACTCATCTATAATCTCTTGTAACAACTTTCTGAGTATAGTGAATTGGAGAGTTGCTCTCTCCCTCATAGTAGATTGTTTGGTCAAACTGGGTAAACAAACCTTCGGTTTTTTCTTGCCTTATTTTGTTATATTATCTGTGTACGGATTATTATTACTGAAGACCATTTACTTTGGTTGCTATTGTTCTTTGCCTCACAGATTGATATTGAATTTTATCGTAATTCACAACAAGATTCACAATAAGTGGTGCGGTGAGCGTCGAACAAAGAGATATTGTTGACAAGTGAGCACCATGGTTAGTAGATGGAAGATAGAGAAATTTTTTGGTAACAACGACTTCGAGTTGTGGAAAATTAAGATGCAAGCAATTTTAATTCAAGAGAAGTGTATCGATGTTTTGAAGAGTGAAACATTAGTTCCTGTAAGGCTTACACAGGTACAGAAGACCGAGATGGTGGATAAGGCCAGGAGTGTCATTATCTTGTGCCTCGGGGATAAAGTTCTAAGAGAAGTCGTCAGGGAGAAAACTGCGGTTGCTATGTGAGAAAAACTTGAATCATTGTATATGACAAAGTCTTTGGCTCACAGGTTGTCTCTGAAATAAAAACTTTATTCATTCCGAATGGTAGAGAACAAATCCATAGTTGAGCAGCTCATAGAATTTCATAAGATTATCGATGATCTTAAGAATATTGAAGTGAATATTGATGATGAGGACAAGTCTTTGCTCCTGTTGAGTTTATTACCCAAATCCTTTGAGAACTTTAAGGATACCCTTCTTTATGAAAAAGAAGGTACTATTACTTTGGATGAAGTCCAAACGGCTGTGAAATCCAAAGAATTTTCAAAGTCGAAATATTTGAAGATTGAAGATAATGGTGAAGGCTTAAATGTGTCAAAAGAAGGAGGTGGGTTCAAAGGGATGTCCAAATCAAAAAGGTCTGACAAGTAAAAGGTAAAATGTTTTAATTGTCAGAAAATCGGTCACTTTAAAAGGGATTGTCCTAAAAGAAAGGTCAATGAAGATTCTGTTCAAGCTGTAGTTACATTGGGTGAGGAAAGTTATGAGGATGTCAAAGCACTAGTAGTATCGAGTTTGGAAACTGAAGATAGTTGAGTTATTGACTCAGGCTGCTCTTATCACATGTGACCAAGAATAGAATACTTTGAAACTTTGAAGATGGTGCAAGGTAGACTAGTTCGCCTTGGTAATAATAAATCATGCAAGGTTCATGGTATTGGTACGGTCAAATTTAAAATATGATCGTGAACTTCTTATTCACAATTGAGGTATGTTCCAGAACTCAAGTGAAATTTGTTATCTATAAGTATGTTTAATGATTTAGGCTATTGTACTAGAGTTGAACGTGGAATGTTGATTGCGTGATGAATTGATTATTGCTAAAGGGTCTAAAATATATGATCTATATATTTTAGAAGGTTCAAATGTTATTATTCATTCATCATTAACTAGTGGAGGCTTTCATGACAAGAAAATGCTATGAGATATGAGTTTAAGGCATTATGATTGTCTTGAGAAAGTTTCAGAGGAGTACAATGAATTTTACAGAAATTAAGGGATAAAAATGCATGTTACCGCTGAGTTGTTATTAGATTTTTGGGGGAAAATTCTTTTAGAAATTTTTATTTTATTCTAGAATTTATCTGATTTATTCTAAAAAGATATATTTTGTTAAAGATTAGATATGCAATAAATTTGTTTGTAAAAATCTAATAGA